TACATAGCGACTCCAGTGGGAGAAAGAAGTGGCTCCAAATTGGGGATAAATGGCACTACAGCTGAAAGTAAATGCCATAGTCGTGATCAGGGCACTGAATAACATATAAAGCTCAACTTTCAGACAAGTTCTTGCTTAATGGTATGTGAAAATCGAAATTGTTGAATAGCACCAACTAATGGGGTAAACTACTTACAAGGAAAGGATGGTTGGTCGAAGTGGCCATTTAAGACAAGATGTATACTCACTGATGCGTCTTCGGACGCTGATTTCAAATCTGCTTTTCCATATCTGCTAAACGATTCTCTGAGCAGAGATATGCAGGAGGTTGTTGTACGGAGCACAATTGAGCTTGGTACACAAATCAGACGTGAGTCGCCACACGATGTGCCTCGGTGGCCTAGTGGGTAGTGTGCCGGGCTCAAGTTTACGAAGTGAGAGGTTCGAATCCTTGATGGGTGTGCTCTTTTGCATTGTTTCAGCAGTGCTCTCTGGAAGTTTTTAACACAGCCTAGCATGATCAGGGAACCTTGTCATGCCATGAATAGGGCTTTTCTTGGAAAACTGAACCATTCTCGCCTGTGAACACTTCTAATGATTTATTTTGCTCATATAGTGGGTACAAACAAGTTTTGTGATTCAAGAACAAATGTGATAATCCAGAACAAAGTGTTGGAAGCAAAAAAGTTTCTCGCAATGGGAACACCGGATAAAAAAATTTCCTTGCACTCTGCTGTGTTACAGGGTTCTATGACATTTGGAGGGAATGCATATTGAATAGGCGTTTCAAATTCAAAAGGGTTCGGGTCCTTCCTGGAGTTGTGGTTTTGCATTTTCTCAAAAATGCTCCCTGCACATCCTAAAAGCACTTTTGCGGGGTTAGGAGACCTGATCTTACCGAAAATGTTGTTTCTGAAGGAATGGAGCCATTCTGGAACACTCCTGAAGGATACCCTTGATTGTTGGTTTCCGGCGGCATTATTCGTTACATTGTGTTGTGCCTCAACTGGCTCCATGGAAGCCAGAAGTGAATGTCATGTTCGTGAACAGGGCCGTCAGTAACCAATAAGGACTGAGATTCAGCGGAAAAGTTGCATGGCTCTCAGAGATTTTGATCGGCGATAGTGACAGCGACCTTGAGGAATTTCCGTTTGCCCATGATTACCCCACTGTATCGAAACTAGTCCGAAATCTAAGATTTGGCTGAAACTGCCTCTAGGGCTAATTCGAGCCCCAGAACACGAATATCACACTTGCTCGGCGTTGAAACGCTCGCCAAGGGAGTTGCAGGTCCTGCACACCCTGCCCCTCCAGAATGTGAACAAGACATTTTTATGAAAACTAATATCCTGCAGGACTGATTTCCAGAAGCACCAGCCACCTCTAAATTCCGAGTGTTTGGCATAAATTGGGGGTTTTGAGTGGGGCCTCAAATACTGCTAGAAATGGGTTTGACCTCGTCAAAATTCCTGCATAACTTTGTCCAGGGAATCGTTCAGCAGAAATGGAGGGCAGATTTGTAATCAGCGTTCAAGGGCCCACCGGGCAGTATACATCTCATTTCGAATGGCCACTTCGACCAACCATTCTTTCCTTGTTAGAATGTGCCTATAAATGGTAGCTATCCGCGTAAAATTCATAAACAGACATATATGGAAGCGAGAACAGCGGAACATAAAAAATGCAAAAACTCGCAAGCGGAGGGGAGTCGAACCATGAACCCCACCCTCACTGTCCGATTGAGAATCCTCCACGCTATCCACTAGGCCATCCGATCGTTGTAGCTGAACACCGCTCCGATCGTTGAAGAAACCATTCCGAGCCGCTCAGAGCCGCTCACTCTTAATCACGTGCCTGTAAGACCCCATTTGCGACTATTTTCCTCCTCGATTCCTATAGTACCTTTATAAGGACCCTCCACTCAGAAAATAGTCAAAGTTGCAAGGGATTTAGAGCCCACTGAGGCTCAAAAACAGTCGGTTTCCATGGACTTCTTTTTCACTCCTTTTTTGGTATTCCCAGAGGCGTTCAGGAAAAATTGGTACTCCATGCACGTGACCCCACATCATGCAAAAACCGTTTTTAAAAAGCGCGCCACGTCCTGAACGACCTCCCTGGTTAGAGACCTAAAGCACGATAGAAACAGTAGTAAGAGTGCTATATATTGAGGAAATGATTAAAAAAGCAAAGTTAAACGGCCAAAAATCCCTTCAGAAAAACCTTTGTTCTTCGCGTTTGACGAGCATTTTTGGACGAGTTTCCCCAGGCATCACGCCAGCGAACACTTTGGTAGATATGGCTAAACGTATGTATTCATACGTCCATGTAGCAAGGCTTCATATTCATATATCATTCAGCTTCATATATTCATATATCAATTGTACTTCATGATGAAACGATGAGAGCACCAGCGCCGATGGGACTGTACGGATGTGGGCGGGCGGGTGCGGTGGGCATTCGAGTCGGTATGTTGCTGCTTGATAAGGTGTTACAAGGGCATCTTCCCTGGAAAAGAAGCCTTGCAGCGCCCGCAGGTGCATCGAATCTGTTCTCCTAGGCGTATTCATCCTACATGCTTGCGAGTTTATCGTGCCTTTTGCTTTTAAGCAGCACACCAAACTATACATTTCGTGAGATGTCCAAAATATAGGTACTAGGTGCATACAGTAGCGGACAAAACATGGAAATAGTAAAGTTTCCCACGCTGATATTGGGTCCATTTTTAAAGTTTATATGGCACTGGGGAGAACATAAGACTGCGGAGCTATTCAACTTAGTTGAATGAAAACGTCCAGACAGTAGAAAAGAACACTCAAACAAACCTTACCCCTCTTTGGATGAGCTAAGTGGGACTAAATGAAAACCGCCGACCATGACTCCGTCCAAACGAAGAGCACCACAATACTGCGGTAGGGGGCAAACGATGCGGAACTCCGCTGCATCATAAAAGCCTTACGGATGATGCTATCACTGTCGAAGATTTCTTCTTTGATGCAGCACGCAGTCCATATATAATCATGATGGTTGGTGAATTAGCCTATGCAATGAACTACGATGCAGTCAATATGTAGGTAAAGGTTTTTCGCTTTTAGACAAGTCTGTTAGCATTTAGACAACGCCGGTTTAATGAAGAGCTTGATTGGCTCTTGCAGAATGCGATTCAGGATTTGACCCTCACACCGTGTGCCTTGTTAGCGGCGCCACTTGTCACTGCACTACCTCGCCTCTAGCTACCTTACTACACTAATCATAGCTATTGCTCCCAACTCAAAGTAAAGAAAATAAGTAAAACTACTGAAAATGAAACTTCGAAGTTTGTTTAAAGTTTCTTTAGCTTCTGCAACTATTGAACGCACTTTTTTTTGAACATGACTTCGCATGCATGAATTAACATGCGGTTCATGGAGGCTCCAGAAGCCCAGGTTCCAGGAAATCCTAACAAGAACATTGTCTGCACGATAGATGTACGCGAAAAGGAGAGGTTTTTTGCAAGGCCCGACAATTTACCAGCATGACGTTTTTGAGCGCAACACTGTGCGGACGCTTCTTGGACACGTGGAGCACTTCCTCTGTCTTCACTGCTTCCAGAGGTTATTCGAACCAGTTTTGGAGTTCCCTATAGTTTTCCCATTTTTTCACATCGGAATATACTATGCAACTTCACCTTCCCCCCCTATCACGCAAGGCTGCGTTTATACTTTGCGGCAGCGTAGCGTAGCGCTTCCAGCGTTTCACGAGCGTTTCACTAGCGTTTCGCTAGCGTTTGCAGCGGCGGGGCTAGAGAGTATAGAAGAGTAGGAGAGTACAAAATACTCTCCGCTAGCGCACGCTAGCGTTACGCTAGCGTACGCTGGTGACGCTGGGAACGCTAGATCGATATCTATCCTTTCCCCGACACTGCCGCTGGCGTACGCTGGAAGCGCTACGCTACGCTGCCGCAAAGTATAAACGCAGCCCAATGAATCTAGGGAGACGTGCAACAGAATCGTCCGGGGCAGCGCCCGCGGCACGCGGCGCGTCGCGCGGCGAATGACTCAGCAGCTCACTTACGTGCATTTGCTAGCCGATAGCTTTGCGACTGGAGCAAATGATTTACTACAGCGTACATCCGCAAAGCAGGTTTCATCAATGATTGAAAATCTAATGATGTTTTTCTTGATAGTAACACACAATTGTTTGGCGGTTCCATAAACGCAACTTCAGGAAATAAACAGATACAAAAGAAATCAGATAAGGCCGTGATTCTCCCTATGTTTATGTGGTTCACATGATTTGCGCAGTCGCCAGCGTCAATATAATAGACGGATGGCCAAGTTTTTCTGTGAGCTGCTGTAAAAGATGACAAACCAGAGCAAATGTAAAGACCCCAATGAATTTCGTGCTCTATTGAACTTTTTCATACTCTAACTGAAAACTTAACCGTAACTGAACACAAGACTCGATCCTGGGTGATATCAATATTTACCTTCCCTTCAATAACCCTATTCAAACCGCCAGAAGCACGCTTCGTCTTCTCGCCGCAAGTATGTCGCAGGCCACGCCCACCAGCTGCACCGGACGATTCTGTTGCTACACACCCATTAATCTACATCTCAACAGACCGAGCAGTTTAGTTGTTGCGTTGGAACGTAAGCCGTCAAGAAAGTGCCTGCAAACCACTCTATATTCTGAACGAGCGAAAGATTAGATAATTACTGAAAAAAATTTATAAAGGGTCGGGGAGAGAAGACGTACTTGACTATTTTATTCATCATCATCACGTGATCTATAGAAAAAAAGCTATAAACACTTGCTTCGCGTGAGAACCCTTGTTACGTGCGCTTCGAGGGCGTCCGTAAGCTTTCTCCTGAGTTACAATTCCACACAATTGCGGTAACTTTACAAAATAATACTACGATGAAGAAGCACGGTCGAGAAAGGAGCACACACTGGAAAGCCTTTTGGCGGGAAAACTGATTCTGTAAAAATCAGTGGAAATTACATCCGACTAAAAATATATACTAAACCTCGAGCATTTGTACGCTGGCGAGAGACGCATAATGGATAGCGTTATTTCCACTCATATCCTTCACTGTTGCGTCTGCTCCCAGTTCCAACATCCTTCGCACTATCTGCAGGCGATGCATTTCTATGGCTAAATGCAGTGGGTACTTTCCCTCTGGTTGCACCATCATCTTCATCATGCTGAACGAAGGTTTAAACACTGAATACATAAACACTGAACACAAGTACAAAAAGACACATTTAAAGCTCTTCTGTACACAGACCAAAAGCTGTGTTTTCTGTATATTTTGTCTGACCACCCCAAAATATATATATATATATATATATATATATATATATATATATATATATATATATATATATATATATATATATATATATATATATATATATATATATATATATATATATATATATATATATATATATATATATATATATATATATACAGGGGGCCAAAAAAAGTCACTTCGACCGAGTCACATATCAGCAAAGTTTTCGCAGCCCAGACAGAGGACGTGGATACGAGTACCAGGGCGGAAGATACCCAAGATGTTCCTCGATAAGCAGGAGCTGGGCTCGCCCATCATTCATGTACACCAAAATATGAAGTCATCTCCAGTCGCAGCCTGACTGGAGAAGACCTTTGGAATTCATGTCACCTCCAAACAGCTGCGAAACTTCTAGTATGGAGTCACCCATGGGTAGCTACCTGGAGACCAGTACTCTCGATCTGGAAGACCTCCAACATCGAGCAGCTCCGACAACGTCGCTACGGTCTAGGACATCATCTTCACCGCAGTCGCCAAGGCGCGGGTTGATGGTATGGACCGGACGTACCTGGAATGGAAAGACCGATATTTTCTTCGTGGACCCGGACTGAAGGTGAGCGCTGGCGGTTACATCGAGCAACTCGAGAAGAATATCCTCCACATGTCGTCGCCCGTACCTTCTTGGAAACTTTGTACTGCTACAGCATTGGGTGCCACCACATGGAATCGGAGGGCATTGGAGAAACTCTCGTTCTTTTGGAATGGAAGGGCGTTGATTACCTAAAGGTGGAATATTCAAGTAGATCACCTGAATTCCCTCAATTACCCTGTTCGGGCGGAGTTCAACAGGGTGTATTAATATGCTCTTTAATATGGGTGTAAAAATGTCCGATCAGAATTTAATAAAGTGTAACTTATAGCGCCTCGAAAGTCAATGAAGAAAAGTGACTTTTTTTTTGCCCCCCCTGTGTATATATATATATATATATATATATATATATATATATATATATATATATATATATATATATATATATATATATATATATATATATATATATATATATATATATATATATATATATATATATATATATATATATATATATATATATATATATATATTGTTACAATTACTGCAACCACTCGAATGGGCAATGATAAGAACAAAAATTCTCAAAAAGATCACAATCAGCATTGGGAAAAATAAGTGAAGGTCAACAGCGGGTCGGCGACAGAAATTTGGAAGAGGCATTGGGTGTGGGAGATCTAGACCTACCGTTTAGTGCTCCGAGTGTTATAAAAAAAAAAACTAAAACAAGCGTTCAGCCTTGCGGTTCGCTACCTGCGCCGATTAGTCGGCTCATCAGCTCATATATTAGGTTGGTGCATAAGTTCTTAGCCGACTTTTTCGTAAATATCTCAATAGCGAACCAACCTGAAGATTAGAGGTATGCACCATCACCATGAACTACTCGTCGCCAGCGCTCAGGCAGCTTGTCGATTCCATCCTCCAGAACGACGGGGGCTGGGATTCGAAGAAGGCCACAATGCCGCACAATCACCACTGTGACATGGTTTTGCACTGGTAATTGTGCGGCATTGTAGCCTGCAAATGCAGGGTGGGTGAGTGATAGCTAGTGTGGTGAAAGAGTATCATGTACACGTCACGCACACGTGATGACGAAATACCAACCTCCATGCAAACGAAATACGGAAGGATCAAAATTCATAGGGGGCCGAGAACTTATGCACTAACCTAATATGTGAGCTCATATACACCATTTTCACATTTTTAAATTTAATTAATTTAAATACCATTTCTAAATTCACCACTTAAACCAAACTGACCAGTTTTCGAACCAAATTCACCACTTTTCAAACCAAATTCACCACTTTTCAAATCAAATTCACCACTCTTTTTAGACCGGGCAGTTCACCAACCAGATCACGCCAGACACCACTGCGAACCCTGCCCCGACGGTCACGCCTAGTCAGCGCGGACATAGATTTTCAACACATGGCCGACTCCGCCCAGTCTTCAAAGGGTTTGTTGCGAACTTCGAAATTACATAACTTTTTCAACTTTTCAATTTCACATCCACTCTTTGCGCAACGAAGTACTCGTAGTCGCGCATTTATGTTCCGGAAATTCAGGCTCCACCCACTTCGCCACGCCCACTTGCTTTTTGCGGAATTTTGATATTTTTTCAAAAATTCTGCATTTTCGGCGCTGCTCACGAAAGCCCTACGAGAGGCTCGGCCACGTTTGAGCTAAAGACCGGCCTTTTTTCAAAAAGGTGCAAATCGGCGGTAGAGCCTTGGCCTGCATGCTAGGGTCTCGTCCTCACTCGGGACAATCTTTCCCTGATTAATTTGTGTGGCAGTGGCAGCCCGAAAATGCAAAAGTTTTGAAAAACTATCAAAGTTCCGCAAAAAGCAAGTGAGCGTGGCCAGTGGGCGGAGCCTGAATTGCCGGAGCATGCATGCGCTGTTACGAATACCCTCGTTGCGCAAAGAGTGGATGTGAAATTGAAAAGCTGAAAAAGGTTTGCAATTTCGAAGTTCGCAACAAGCTCTTTGAAGACTGGGCGGAGTCGGCCAAGTGTTGAAAATCTATGTCCGCGCTGAGAAGTAGGCGTGACCGTCGGGGCAGGGTTTCGCAGCGGTGTCTGGCGTGATCTGGTTGGTGAACGGCCCGGTTCATAAAGAGTGGTGAATTTGATTTGAAAGGTGGTGAATTTGGTTTGAAAAGTGGTAAATTTAAAGTGAAAATGGTATATATGGAGGCTATCAAGCTGAAATGGCGGATCCGATGGTGTAACGGTTAGCAAGACCAATGTTCATTTTGAGCACAATCGCCGCTTTGACTTAGCCAGTGTTTTTGCTCATTTACAACTGTATTGCTACAATTACTGCAACTTTGCCGTGGAGCGCTACAGCCGGAGAGCAACACTAAGTTGATTGAATTCAGAGAACTTCGACTTCAGCCGGAACTCATCAAGCACAGGCGCCTCTAAAGGGAACCGATCATCCAAAATAAGATCCTTCTTATGGGTGAGGTTGAAAGTAAATAATGGTACAGTTGAAGTGCGAAATCGAATCTCCCACAAAATCAGTAAAGCAGCAGATCATTTGGACTATGCCCCGATAACATACTGCCATCTGCTATTGTGTGGAAAGGTCATGAATGTCTTTAACCAGAAACGCAGCGAGTTTTCAAAGGATGGCTCAAGAATTCCCCTTCAAGATGTCAAGACAAACTACAAAGTTTCTTTTACTTTCCAAATGACACGAAAAATTGAGAGCATATAAAAATTTTGGAGTTCCGGAGATTAGTGTGCATGAGAAAGATTAGAGGACGCAAGTCAATATTTTGTCCTCGTCGTCACTGCAAAGAGCGTTCTGGCGATGATATGCTCAAAGCGGTTATTGGTTATTATATTGGTTGCCTCGTACGATAACTACTCTAGTCTTGAAGCTGCGCAAAGCAGATGTTAGATGTAACTGCCGCATCTTTATCCACTCGCAATCAATGTTCTTCTCAACGCATGCCCCACCAGATCACCGTTTTTAGGATTTACCTTCGGTTTCATGCCTCGCCCCTCGCCAGTGTTGACTTTGCGTGCTAGTGGAAGTAAAAGTTGAATTAACTGCCTCTCACGCCCAATGAATATGAAGCCGAAGGCTTGGGTATACGCTCAAGGATTGGAAGGGTTTATGTCGATTCATGTTTGGCAGGGTCAAGATGTTTTCCTACACTACCTACACGCTACCTATATACAGAAGAATGAGCTTCACTTGTCTACCTCTACCAGGATAGAAGTGTTGTTCACATGTACCTCGAATTCTTCCCAGCGGTTCAGGTCAGTATTTGCGCGCTGTTCTTGATGAGTAAATATCCCTACAAGACCGGCGGAACCAGCGAGGAAGGCAGGTGGAGGCAGTACAGACAAATGGCGACCACGCTCAAGCTACGGACCAAAAATGGAAGATGTATGTTCCGATGAGCAAATCAGCACTGTTGAGCTTCGCCGACGCGTTCGGATCACTTCAGTAAGTTGGGACTCCTTACCTTTAATGGCAACGTTGTCAACTACCCAAAGTTCTCCGCGAGGTTCTCTACCTAAGTAGGCAGCAAAACCCAACCTGACGATACAACCAAGTTTTCTCTGCTCAGATCCTGCCTTCGCGTCGCGCCCTGCAATTTATTCACTCATTCATTCATTCATTCAATTTATTCCTGTCAATGTCGTGCAATTACAAGACCGCTTTGGACATCCTAGCCACTAAGTGTGATGACAAGGTTACTAAGAAACGCAATCTTTACACGGTGCAGTCCCAGTTATCCTTTCGATCCAGAAGACACAACATAGAGACCCTATACAATAAGTGTTGGCGTTGGTTCGGCAGTTTCGCCGATGGACAGGACGATTCCTCAGAAACAAATCAGGGAGTGATTCTCCTCAACAAGTTACCTGCCAGAGTGAATCTATGACAAATCTATGACATGGCGTCTAACAGTCATATTCTATCACTAGTGAACTGCTTCACTTATTAGCTGACATAGTACGTAAGGAAGCTACTCTTTTCGAGATAGACTACCATCCTCGCTCAAGCCACTGTACCCCTGCCTATTCCCCTGTCGAAGACTATCATGCTCGCTGCAGCCATTGTACCCCTGCCTATTCTCCTGCCGGCAGATTTCAAGCCGCATCACACGCAGACGGCATCAGCGGTGAAAACCCCAAAGATCACCACAGATCCGATGTCTAGGACGAAGATGTGCCCCTATTGTTAAAACCCTGACCACCGCTCGTTCACGTGCGATGCATTCCCAACAGCACATCAGCGAAGCCGTCAAACAGTTGCACTTTACTACAGTTAGCTACCGAGAATTAGCACACACTGTACTGTGGCTCCGAACAGTAATGCAAATTTTGTGCAAAACGTCATCAATCTTATGCTCCTTCTAGTCAAGCTACGAACGACAACATCCAAAACGAAAGAACCCTACCTCACACAAACTGTACCTGAAACCCATCGACCTACCGTAACTACAACGACGATTGAGACCGACCTCGACTATCATTCGGAAACGAGTGTTACAGTCAATCGCAGCCTCACATCTTCAACAACGAAAAAAAATTGCCTACACAGCGACGCTAGTGACGCTAAAGTGTACGCCTTTTCAACCCATCAATCAACCCAAGAGCCACAATCGTAACAGCATTCTTTCACTCAGGTTTCCAGTCAATCGTACATCTCAGACGACGTAGTGCAGAGACTGGTCTTTCTAATCGATCATCAGAACATACTACCGCATCAACTTTCGGTACACTACTCCTCTGCATTTTGAATCTCGTAATCGCACCATCAGCATCTGCACAGAGAAAGGAAACAAGCCCACTTCATGTAAA